TACAGGGTACCACTTCTTATAGGTTGAATTGCTTTATTACATGCAGCCCAGTAAAATATAGAAACACTAAATTTAAAAACAGATCTTATCTACTTCCTTTTCTCCATATAGAGCATTGATCATCTAAACATTCTCAACTGTCTTATAACCCTTCCCCCACCTCTGAAGGTGAAATAATCATAACATTTTTCTTTACAAAAATTCCCCTAGACACACCATATTAAACTACTCCAAAATCATTAGCAGTATATTAAATAAGTAAGAAGAATTAAAGTATATAACAAAGATCACTAATAGGAAAATAGTCACAGAAGCATAATTTAGATAGAGTATTAATGAAGCATAAACTATCTAAAGAAAAATATATTAATGGAGGACTTCTGACTTTTAAAATTCTTAAATTTAATGTATGGAATATCTGATATTTTATGTCGCATTAACATAATCAGTGTTACAAGTTACCAAAATAAACAAAGATTTTAATAGAACAGATGAAAGAAAGTTGTTACAAAAAGGAGCAGCTACCAAATGCACACGTTCTTCAGCTTCTAGTATCTGTTTATCTTTTTGCTGCTGCCTACAAGTTAAATGACATAATTATTTTATTTTATTTTATTTTTTTAATCAGCAGTGTGAGTTTATTAATTAATTTTTGTTACAGATGTTTCTCCTTTTTCCCCCCACTGATTCCCCCTTCCCCTCCCTCCCTGCCCTGTCCCCAGTTTGTTGTCTATGTCCACTGTTCATGCATACATGCATATAAGTTCTGTGGTTTATCTCTCCCCCACCATCCCCTCTTCTGGGGATTGTCAATCTGTACCCCACTTCCACGTCTCTGGGACTACCCCATTCCTCAGACTGTTATGTTCATTATATTCCACACATAAGTGAGATCATATGATACTTGTCTTTCTCTGTTTGGCTTGTTTCACTTAGGATGATACTTTCCAGGTCCCTCCAAAATGACATAATGATTTTAAAACCATGCTTTTGAAATCATAACGTTTTTTTCTTTTTTCTAATCTAATACAGTGGAGATTACTGAAGTGATCAAGTTTAGGAAGTATTTTAAAGATTTGTTGATGGATTGTGAGAGATGAGGAAAAGTAAAGAATCAAAGGATGGGACTTCTATATCAGATAGAAATTTGGACCAACTCTCCCACTGAAGACAAGTAGAAAAGCTAGGACTACTACTACTAATAATATCATCTGCTGGAAGGTATCAGAGAATTCTCAAGGTCATGAAGAATTACCTAGCCAAGATCCAGTAAAAGAAGGACATGCAGATTGGTGAGGCTGGTTCTTGGAACTTCTTTAACTCTGGGGATATTGGTTGACCTACAAGAGCTGGCTGAAAGGTTAAGTAGTGTCTTTATGGTTTCTTGGGGTGGAGAGGGGGAAAGAAGGGGGAGAAAATAAAACCATTTCTCACATAGACTGCAACCTAGCTTCTGGACTGCAGTTGGTGGCCTAGGGCCTCTGTATTTAAATTGGATTAAGATGATCCCAGATGGCTAAGGTTCACAGATTGCTAGAGAAGCAAATGCAAAGCTTCTCTGCAGAAAGATAAACTCATATTATTTGAAAAACAAAACACAATGCCTGGTACAAGAGAAAACCAGACTCCAAGGAAAGAACCAGTGCAAACAATAGATAACTGGTTTACCCACAGCCACTTTAATATGGGACTGATCAGACAGAGACTTTAAAATATTCTTTTTACGTTTAAGAAGACAAGAGACAAAGGCAAACATTTTGAGGGAACACTAGAAGTTACAGAAATTATAAAATGATAGCAGAGTTGAAAAAAATCAAATAGATATTCTAGAACCAACAAAATATCTACAGTAATCAAAAAGTAAGTGACAGAACTAAAGTGTGAACCTGGGAAGTTTAACTTTAAGGGCCATAGTCTTAACGGTTACTCTCAAAAGTAGGAAAAAATTATGACATTCTTAAATTTCCAAATTTACAGTTCAATCAATTTAAACTACTTTCTAGTTATATTTATTAAAAACATACATCATCTTATGAAAGATAGACAGAATGGTCAAATATGTATTTTGGGAACACACTTAAGCCACTAATATAATAAATTCATAATAAAATGTCCACTGAAAATTGAATGAAATTGCAGACAGATAGCTTCTATGACTGACATATTTTCATATCTTTTACTAGAAATTTCCACAAAAACCATTTTATTGATTTAACACTGTCTACTATCTGCAACATTTAAGGTGATTGTATTTGGCTATTTTTTTGAAAATTTCCTTCTTGACTCTAGTAATTTGGGCATTTGGAAATCAGATGATAACCTGTCTCTTTTCGGAATACTTTGCCTGGATGTCCGTTTTTTAGCCAAGGCATATGACTTGGCTTTTCATTCTTTTCAATTCATTTCTGTATTTTTCTGGGCTTCCCCTTTCCAGTTGTCACTCATAGATGAAAATAACATAACTGCCTCTAAAGTGTGTGTGTGTGTGTGTGTGGAGAGAGAGAGAGAGAGAGAGCAAACATTATTACTGAAGTTGCCAAAATCACCACCAAAAATTCACAGGTCAGGGTGGGGGGCATCTATAAAAGTAATGAGGAGGTTTAAACTGATTGAGAGGCTGGTCATAAGTTTGGTGGGAGAGGAAGTGGGTGGTGGTACTCCCAGTTGTCCTTCCCCTTTCTTCTTTTTTTTATGCTCACTCGAGGACATGCAGAGAGAGGAACAGCAGTGTGAGAGAAAAACACTGACTGGTTGCCTTATGTACATGCCCTGACCAGGGACCAAATGCACAACACAGGTAAGTGGCCTGACCAAGAATTGAATGGACAACCTTTTGGTGCACAGGACAACACTCAACCAACTGAGCCACTCTGGTGGGGCTGTCCTTCCCCTTTCTAATGCCACAGGAAAGGATTCTTCTCTTCAGCACTCTTTCCCATCTCCCATGTTCCGTTTCTCTTTGGGGGTGGGGTGGGGTAGGGGAATGTCAGAATAGGGTATAGTGTGGGTGGGCTTCAGGAGGGAAATGGGTGCTGGAGTGGAAGCAGGGGTCCTCAGTTTCTCTTGCATCTTAATACAGAACTCCTTCAAAGTTAAATTTTCAATAAGGTTTCTGTTTATTAATTTGGTTTCTTAGGAGTGAAAGATAATTGGTTGACTGGAGTACCACTGTACTTGAGACCAGAATTAGAGTAGCTCATTTTCCAGTGTTTATTTACATAGTAGATGCTATGAGGTACCACCTGACTCCCTTCAAAAAGGACTTTATTGTTCTAGTGTGATAGTGTTCTCGGCAGTTCAGAAAGACTTCTATGGGTTGCCTCACATGAGGTTATGCTCCTTCCCTGAGCTATATCTAATGTGTTCAGGAGTATTAAGACGTGGCCATTTTAGCTCAACAGAGGACATCTCTAGAGATCAGTTCAAATTCCAGACCTCCCCGTGGTGTTAGCTGAACCTGTTATGGACCTACCTTTCAGTTTGACTTCTCTCTCTGCCTACACTTGTTTCTGTCTCTTCAGTTCTCTAAGAAATGATCTAAGGTTACTCCTTATTAACTACCCTTAACACTAAACTCCATTTCAGGGTTTGCTTCCCAGAGTACCCAACCTATAATGATCTACTTCAAATTTATCTGGAAGGAGGCATTGAATCTATTTTTCATTCATTAATACATCTATTTATCCATTTATCCATCCATCCATTCACCCATCTACCCACCCATCTATCTCTATACTGTTTTTATTAAACTATCCTGGCATTTTAGAAGATTCATTATTCTTTTTTTTCAGTAATATTTCTTTAGGTTATAGTATCTATACTATTTATCAGGTAGCCAGTTGTTTAACTAGTTTCCAAAGATATAAATAAATGTGCAATGTTTAGCATGTTAGTAAATTTTGTGATCAAATTCTCAAAGTGCAGCTGTTACTGAATTTGCTAAATGAATTTTTGAAAACGTTAGCTTTGGTTTCACCACATTATCTCCAGGGGGCAGCAGAGAATTCTCTTAAGGCAAATATGATTAGAGAAGCTGTTTCTTTTTCTTTCTCTCTGTCTCTTCAAAACAGACAAACTATGAAGTTGTAAGAGTGCCCAAATGGAAGAAAGAATGAGTGAATAGATGAAAAGATTTAGGAGGAGTGAGGAGTGTGGAAAATGCTTTGGACACAAGACAGAATTGAAAAAAATACTTAGTAAACTAATTAACCACATAACCAAGAAACAGATGTTGGAGTGAGATTTCTTGGCTTGAATTCTGTCTCATCACTTATTAACTGTGTGATTGGACAATTTACTTAACCTGTATGGCTTCAGTTTCTTCAACTGTAACATGGAGATAACAATGATATTTACTTCATAGATTTGTTGAGAGGATTAAGTGAGGCCATATTTCTAAAGTGCTTAGAACAGGGCCTAGGTTAAGTTAAGGGCTTGATTATGTACTGTGATATGACCACTGTGGTCTAAAATGGATATTTAGTAAAATATAAAATGTGGTTAATAATTTATTTTTCCTGGTTTTACTTTTTATTTGCTATTGCACACATTTTATTTCAAGCATCTATTTATTTTATTTTATTTTATATTTTATTTTATTTTATTTTATATTTTATTTTATTTTATTTTATTTTATTTTATTTTATTTTATTTATTTTCAACAGAGGAAGCACTTTATTGATGAGTTATCTCCAGGAACCAAAAAGACTATATACCCACTTTCCATCACCCCCCATCCCTCCAGGACCTCACATTGTTCCACTTAGGGGGAGGGGAAAAAAGTGGCCTTTTGGTTTTCCAAAGCCCCAGGCTTTCCCCTCCCTTAGAAAACTCAGTAGCAATACTGCCTCCCCCTCTCCCCCGCAAATGCCTGCTGAAGCTACTTAGTAACAATTGTGGGTGAAGGAGCTAAGGGAAGCAGTTAGATGCTAAGGGTGGAACAGAAAACAAGTATGTAGCCTATCAAAAGTCCTTCTGTCCAGCCTCAGTGGCTTTATCCTTTAGTTGCATTTTTCTTTATGCTGAATTATGCCTTTCTGAATCAGATTGGGGATTTCCACTGCCAGCCATGGACCCAGCCCCAGAGCCATGAGATGAGCTAGTCTAAACTTGGGCCCGTTCCTGGCCCACAAAGGCTTAAAGTGATCGGTCAGACATATTTTGCCACCCCTGAACATCTTTGCTGTTTTTCCATCTAGTTCAGGGACAGCAATTTCTGGAGCAATAGTAGGATGAGTAATAGGAATGTCAAACTCAATGTCAAATTTATATTTGAGGAGATCATGGATGTACCAGCATTTTCCAAACCACCTTGTCCCTTCCTTGTTGGACTCCAGTCAGAACTAATCAGTGTCTGCATTCTTTTTTTATTTGTTTTTTTATCCTCACCCAAGGACATTTTTTGATATTTTGTTCAGATAGAGTGGGAGGGAGAGAGAGAGAGAGAGAGAAACAATGACATGAAAGGGACACATCAAGTGATCGCCACCCACACGACCCAACCAGGGCCGGGGACAAACCGCAACCGAGGTACATGCCCTTAGCAGGAACCAAACCCGGGTCTCTCTAGACCTCAGGCCGACACTCTAACAGCTGAGCCAAACTGGCCCGGGCAGTGTCTACATTCTTGTTGTTCTCCACATACCGATATTCCTCCTTGAGTCGCTGCACCCACAACTCCCAATCTCGAGGTCCAGCGTTAGTCTTCAGCACCGGGATCTCAGACACTACACACCTGGTGGCCTCGTCCACCATCTTGGACCTCAAGCATCTATTTTTAAACTGTTCTTTTTGCACAGTCTGTGAATTTATATTGAAAAATAACGATTAACCCTCATCTGATATATATTTGTCTAACTTTCAAAGGAGAATTATGGAGGTGATATAACATCACCTGTATATATGAAAGTGAAAAATTTCAAGGTAAATATCAATGATATAATAGAATGAAAAAATATATATGTATATATATATATTTGAGTGTGTGTTCTCTTTTAAGTTACTCATTAGTACATTTAGTGATTGTGCATGGAAGGAGAACCAGAATTTCAGATGAGTCTTCAGAGCTTGGATCTATGAAACTTGTAGGGAAGTGAATTGGAGAATAGAAAAATAGGAGATGGCCAGGGGAGCAGTCATTTTATGCAGTCATTGAATTGTAGTTCCTCTGCAGTATACTCATTAACCTCATATCTCTAATCATAGTGCTGTGAGGGCAGGGAGGGAAGTAAAATAAAGAGTAGAGTGTTAGAAAAACAAAGGAAATAATAAATGGGACAACATCAAACTTAAAAGTTTCTGCATGGCAAAAGAAACCAGCATCAAAATGAATAGGGAACCCACTCTTTGAGAGAACATATTTGCCAATGATACATAGGATAAGGGGTTAATATTCAAAATATATAGAGTACTCTTACAACTCATCAAAAGGAAGACAATCCAATTGAAAAAATGGACAGAGGACCTGAATAGACACTTCTCCAAACAGGACATACAAATGGCCAAAAGACATGAAAAAATGCTTGACATTACTAATTATCAGAGAGCAAATTAAAATGACTGTGAGATATCACCACACACCTGCCAGATTGGCTGCCATCAACAAATCATCAAACAACAAGTGCTGGCAAGGGTGTGGAGAAAAGGGGACTCTAGTACACTGCTGGTGGGAATGCAGACTGGTGCAGCCACTATGGAAAACACTATGGTGTTACCTCAAAAAATTAAAAATTGAATTGCCATTTTATCCAGTGATCCCACTTCTAGGAATATACCCTAAGAAGCCTGAAACACCAATCAGAAAGAATATATGTACCCCTATGTTCATAGCAGCACTATTTACAGTCGCTAAGATCTGGAAACAGCCCAAGTGTCCATCAATAGATGAGTGAATAAAAAAGCTGTGGTACATATACACATTGGAAGACTATGCAGCTATAAGAAAGAGAGATCTTTTCTCTTTTGAGATGACATGGAAGGACCTGGAGAGTATTATGCTGAGCAAAATAAGCCAGTCAGAGAAAGACAAGTACCATATGATCTCACTTTTTTATTAAATATCATGAACAAAATAAGCTGTCACAAAATAGATCCAGAGACATGGAAGGAACAGACTGACAGACCTTAGAGGGAAGAGGGTGGAGGGATGGGAAGAGACAAACCAAAGAACTTTTGTCCATATATGCATAACCAATGGGCATAGACAATAGTTTGAGGAAAGCAGGAGGGGGGCAAGCAGAGAAGAGGAGGTCAATGGGGGAAAGTAGAGGGAAACATCTGTAATACTTTCAACAACAAAGATAAGAGAGTGGAGTGCAATGAAGTGTGAGTTCCTTGAAATTCTTCACACTGTTAAGCATTGTTCTTTCATCTCTTTGAAATTGTTGCATAAGTACTTGGACAGCAGTAGGACAGGGTAGACTGAGAAACTTGCAACAAGTGTTTAGTAGTGTGTGTGAGTTATGCCTGTGTGCGCACTCTCTGGAAGGGTAAGTCAAGCCACACCAAGAGAGTTCACAGAAAGTAAAAATGACAAGGCAAGAAAGTATTGGCCCATTTTTTTTTTTTTTGCAAAGATATACATCTAGAAAACTAGCTAAGGTGTTAGAGACAGGCAAGTACTTGATTTCTAGGCCGTCAAGACTCAAATTCAGGAAGTGAAAGAGCAGACAATGGAGAACAAGAGGTCAGGAATAAAAGGTCATTAGTATCTGTGCAGTAAGTGTTTAAGATCCACGCAAAGCTTTTACACAAAGGGGAAGCGTACCAGTGGCAAGATAGCAATGTCTTCTAACTGGTTTGAGGTGTGACTAAGTCTGAATCTGACACTGGAGACAAAGAAATGCACCTGACTGGAAAAAGTTTACATCAAAAGCATTTATGGGCAGATAAATCGATTTTGAGTAACTCAACTGGGCAAATTTGGGGGCATTATGTCTTAAAGCAGCTCTAACTTACCAAAAGCTTACTAAGCCCTTTTGTTTTGGCCACCACATCATTAACCAGCAACAACATTGTTCTGTCCATCTTTCGTGTACACGGATTCTTAATTGGTAGTATTGAAGAGGAGTTGGAAGACTGTTGGAGCACAAGTTTTGGGTTTCTGGTTTGAGTTGCACCTGTCTTTTGGTCTTGTCTTGCTCTTGTGCTCTGCTTTTTGGGTCCTGGTGCCCAAGGGACACAGCTAAGGAGAACCTGGGTCCTTTATTTTTCAGAGACATGCATCTACTAGACAAGCACTATTTTCTCTTATTATATTGACTTTTGTGGCATATCTTTGGTGGATGATTATGCTAACAAACACTCGTTTCCTTTATTGTTCTTCCAAATGCCTGAGAGTTTGGGTGGAGGGGATAAAGAAGGGGGTAGGAAGTCTCATCCTGCTGAATCTACTTATAGAATTCTACGCTTTTGACACCACTCATTTGATTCTTAAATTGCTGATTGTAGATTGTGGTCTGACCTGAGATAAGTGTATAGGATTATGTCTATGAAAGTTGTTGCCTGAAATTTCAAACGAGAGGAGTTGAGTAGAAAGAACACAGGGCTAGCAAACATGAAACGTGACATTTATGCCCAGCGGTGACACCAAGTCACTTTGAGTCATTAAGCAGGCCATGTAGCCCTTCTGTGCTTTAGTTTTGGCTGTCATTGAAAAAGCATTAAAATAGATGGTCACCAAGATGTTTTGATGACATCAGGAAATGCTCATATAAGTATAATACAAATGGAAAACACAATTACTGATTTGAATAAGAAACTTGTCTAGTATCATCAGACGAGTAATTGCCCAGCAGAGTCTCAAGGCTAGGTCTATCTGTTCTTAAAATTCATGGTCTTAACTACTATGAACTTAAACATCAATGTGGTGGAAACCAGAATGTTATATTTCAAATGACATTTAATCACAGATTTTCTGACACATGGTACAATGTTAGACAGGAGGGAAGTTGTTTTTGCTATAGTCCACCATTGTCACATAGCTCATATCGTCAAGTACCCCATGCCCTTAAGCACCTTATTTCTCTGTGTTAATCAAATTAATTCACTAAAAGGAAAGCTGGAGAAGAGAAAGGGGAAGAATACATATGATTTACTGTTTGGCAAGAGGAAAGATGAAACTGCTAGCTTAAAAGAAAAAAAATGCATGTTGTTTAGCCTTTTTCCTGTTTGCAATGCTTTCTTCCCCTTCCTGGACAGTTTTGCCTTGGGGTAGGACACTCTTAGCACATAGAGCATTTCTTTCCTCCCAAACATAATCTAAATGCACATGAGCTAACACATTGAAGCAGAAAACTTTTTTTTTTTGTAATTCTCAATTACAGCTCTGTGACAATTAAAGATGGGTGTTTATTTGTAATTTGGTTCAAATGATTAGTCTAGCTCTTCTAAAGTGAAAATGAATGGAAATAAATACAAAACTGTGATAGAGTAATGCGCCCCCCCCCCCAAAAAAAGTCTATGAAACTTGTAAATAGGTTAACATACATGGGAAAAGGGAATTTTCAGATGTGATTAAGTTAAGGATTTTGAGATAGGAAGTTTATCCTGCATTATCTGGGTGATCCAATATAATCACAAGGGTCTTTATAAGAGCGAGGTGGGAGGGTTACAACCGGAGAATGAGGCATTGGAACAGGGGATGGGAATGATGCAGCTATAAGCCAAGGAATGCTGGTGACCTCTAGAAGCTGGAAAAGTCAATAAACAGATTCTCTCCATGTATCCAGAAAGAACATAGCCCTGCCCACACTTTGATTTTAGCTCCATAAGATCCATTGTGAATTTCTGACCTCTAAAACCATAAGATTCATTTGGGTTGTTTTAAGACACTCAGTTTGTGGTAATTTGTCACAGTAGCAATAAGAAAGTAATCCACTTAAGATACATTTAGAGTTGTACATATTACAGATAGCAATTTTATGCAAAAAATATCAAGGGAAAATACTGTACTACAAACTTTATTACAGAGGCTGTCTACCTCTTCAACCTAGAGAAAGCTTCTAAAAGTTATCATGATTGAGAAGTTTAAAGGGATAGACCAAAAATTGATAAATATTATGTTTTTCTTTTTTAACCCAAGTTTAGACAAATCTGTTTGTCTTGGGCACATTCAGTGCCTACTGTCAAGATTATCTGTGTACAGCAGAAGTGAGAAGAGAACCAATGAGCTGAAAGATAACTCAATCAATCTGCTTCCTCTGTCTTTGCTTCAGTGCCTCATACAGGAAATCTATTGCTGTGTTAAGTTCCAGAGAAGAGTTTCTTCTGCTCCAAGTTACTAATCAGTCAGAAACACATAGAGCTGAAGGAAGGGGCCAGGAGGAAATAGCGTTCCAATGCTGATGGGCTAAGAGGACTCAGCACGAGAGTCGACTGAGAGAGACCCACCATGCCTACAGCTCCTTTCATACCTGTGTGGAGGAGGAGGACTGAGTGAAGGGCGGAAAGTAAGAGAACCGAAATGCCCTGCTTCTGGAGAATTGACCTACAGTTACTACTGATGTTGGCTGTCTTCTTAGTGGCTGGTAAGTTTGAATTGTCTTTGGAAGAGCGACAGGAGATTAACTGGTGGGAAACCTGGTCTCAGATTTTCCTGAGCTTTCTTTGCCTTTCTTATGGAGCAATACAAGATAAATACAGCCAAAGATGTGGGAGGTGGGGTTACTTCGATTTGTTTCACTTTATTATTCTTATTTTACTCTTTGTCATACTTATTTTACTTTGTATCCTACTATAGTATACCCATCTCTGTGAGTTGCCTCACTAGCCAGTTCCTTATTCCCCCCTTTTTTTGAATGAGGCAGAATAAATGAAGTAATTTCTAGTAACAATCCAAGTCATCTGGGTTCTCTTTATCTTCTTTTCCCTTTAAAAAAATATTTAAATAATAATCCCAACCCATTTCGGTACATATTGTTAACAGTATAAATAGGGAAAGTTTGTTCCTTTTGATCACTTTCTATGACCAGGTGCTTTTTACAATGTAATATACTCAGAGTTCGGCGGTGCATCAGTGAGGTATGTCTGTATTTAATTTTAAGATGTGTGGGCTGTAAAAGACACCTTCTGTGCTAGAGAACATACTCTTCAATGTCTAGGTTCCTGTAGGCGTTGTGGAGAACTTGGGACTCTTATGGGGGTGTCCTGTTTTCACTATAGAGGGTTGGTAGGAGTTGATGTGGGAGGGAGATTTCATGTTTCATTTTTAGTAAATGGGAGCAGCAGCAAGGAAACCGTGTAGTTGGTTTTAAATTTTATAATTTGATAATTGAAAGAAGGAATGGTATTTTTTTCTCATATGAATAACTTAAAGATATTGTCTATCTTCTAGCAAAAAAAAAAATCTTTTTTCCATATGATAATCATACCGGTGAGCACACACAAAATAACTATACTGTACTACTGTACCTTTCTGTGTAGAATTTTCACATACTTTTTCTCCTTTGATCTGCAAAGCAACTCAGTGAAATAGTCATGAAAGACACTTCTCCATTTTACGAAGACAGAAACTGAGGCTTAGAGAGGTGAAATGATTTGTCCAACACTAATAATATATAGCAGAGTAACACCTGGGCACATCTGTTAGTATTACAAAACATTTGAATAGGCAACTTGCCTCAATATTTAACCGTTATACTTTTTACTAAAGAGCACCACTGTTTATAGCACTACTGAAAAAAAAAAAAAGTTAAGCCAATATTGGTTATAAACTTGGTGGGATATTTACTCATTAAAAAAAATCCAGTGATCCTAATCTTTCAGTAGTTGAGATCTTGTTGGAGATAGCTCGTAGAGAAACCTGTGCAAGGCCCAACTTGTCAGAGAAGCCATTTATGTCAAGCTGCACTATGACTTGGGTAGAAAAAAAAATCAAGATTAAAACATTAAGTAGTCAATAATAGTGTGATAACTTTGCACTATGACATTAACATACGTAAATGTCAACTCACTATGTTGTACACCTGAAACTAATATAATATTGTATGCCAACTATGCATTAAATAAATGAATATTTCACCCTCAAAAAATTAAAACATAATTGATAATTTTGAATTTTTATGGTTTAAAAGTTTGAATTTTAAAATGATTTCTAAACACAACTAGAAATACTACATATATCAACTATCTGAAGTCTGTGCTTATATAATTAGAAAGTTATCAAAATGTTTTGCCAGGCCGGTGTGGCTCAGTGGTTGAACATTGACCCATGCATCAGGAGGTCACCAGTTCGATTTCCGGTCAGGGCACATACGCAGGTTGTGGGCCAGATCTTCAGTGGGGGGGCATGCAGGAGGCTGCCAATCAACGTTCTCTCTCTTTGATGTTTCTGTCTCTCTCTCTCCCTCTCCCTTCCTTTCTCTAAAATCAATAAAGAAAAAAAAAATTTTTTTTTAAAGTTATCGAGATGTTTAGAATCAAGATACAGGAAAGCAGATTACGTGGAGTGATTTGGCATGATAAATTCACCATGAAATAATTTAGAATAATGAGAAGCAAGCCACCAGGCGCATGAATTTGTCTTTATTACTGGTACTGCTTTGTTAGTGATACTGCCAAACATAAACAACTCACTTTAATATACAAGATAAATTCACCAAGGAGCAAGGGAGCTAATGACAAGAGTGTAAAATATAGCATTAAAAAAATCTGTTTACCTTTATTTTTACTCATTTGCTTATAAATTCAAGCAACATGGCAGATGGTAGGCAAAGGGTATTTAGAAAATACCTGAGGGAAAAGTTTAAAACATCCTAAGTGGTCCAGACTCACAACTCTGTGTCTGGTCTCTTTTCTTTGTATTCCCTTTACCCACACCACTTCGTCCTCCTTAGGTTTGTCAATTTTATTCTAGTTTTTTCTTGTGTTCAAATTATATTTTGCTATACCAATCAATGTAGCTCTACCTTTTCTAGAAGTCACTGATGCTGAGGTTATGTATGAATTACTGAAAAAGAATTCACTGCTTTTCTTCCTTGGGCTAATTTTGACTATTTATCATTATGTTTCACTAGGGGGCAGGCAGTCACAAGGAGAGGAGATAAAATCAAGGCAAGTCTGCTTGGTTGCTTCTGCAGGTTTGCAAAAGATGGAACAAGAGATTAAAAGCAAGTGTAAAATCATATGGTACTTAAAAACAAAAAAAGCAATTGTGAAAAAGAAGGAGTTTGTCCTCATTAATTTCAATCCTATCTTCCTTTCCTGGGTTGCAATAGTTATGAATTTACATATTACAATAATTTTAGGTGTGTTTTCTCTAAACATCCATGGTTAAGCAATTAATAAATTAATCAAAAGTCATTGTTCAGAACACTGAGTATGTATGGAAGGTGTGTGTATGTCTGTGAATAGTGCCTAAAAGCTATTCGCAAACTAAGTTAGGGAAATCAAGCAAAGATGACAATTTAAGAGAACATTTTATTTATTATTTTTAACTGTATTGATTTTTAGAGAGAGAGAGAGAGAGAGAGAGAGAGAGAGAGAGAAACATCGATTTGTTGTTCCACTTATTTATGCACTCATTGGTTGATTCTTGTATGTGCCTTGACTATAGGTCAAACCCACAACCTTGCTGTATTGGGATGCTATTCTAACTAACTGAGCTACCTGGCCAGGGCAACAGAACATTTAAAATTAATCAGTCTTGAGCCCTGGCCAGTTTGGCTCAGCGGTTAGAGCGCCGGCCTGTGGTTCAGAGAGACCTGGGTTCGGTTCCCACTAAGGGCACGTACCTCGGTTGCAGTTTGTCCCCGGCCCTGGTTGGGTTGTGTGGGTGGCAGCCACTCGATGTGTCCCTTTCACATCGATGTCTCTCTCTCTCTCTCTCTCTCTCTCTCTCTCTCTTTCTCTCTGTCTCCCCCTCTCTATCTCCCCCTCCCACTCTATCTGAACAAAAAATGGAAAAAATGTCTTTGGGTGAGGATAAAAAAAATTAATCAATCAGTCTTGAAATTGTTTGTGAATCTAGTAAAAATCCAAAGATGGGAGAAATTACAGTGGGATGGAGTTGTCAAAGACTTTATGGAGGAGATGGCTCTTGAGCTTGGCCTTGGATGATAGGTTTGGATCGATGTGGAAAGGTAGAGATACAAATAAGAAGGAGCAGATGTGCAGCATGTACAAAGGCCAGGTAGTTTGGGGAGAGGAAGGACTCTGGCCTGATGGAATGGAGATTGTGTGTTACACAGTCATAGGAAATAAGGCTGAATTTCAGCAGTCCTTGATAGCTAAACAGAGGAACTTGGATACTGTGCAGTAAGCATTGAGGAGCCATCTGTTGTTTGCGAACAGGAAAATAATACAGAAAAGCAATATTTTTAGAGAATAATGTGGCAGCAGTGTCCCCTTTAGTGGGAGTGGCCCTTGGTAAAAAATGTATTTTGCAGCAGGAGGTTTCCATTTTAGAAAGTCCTACGATTCTGCTGTGAGACATTGGTGACTGAGAAGGGACATTTCTTTGCAGAAGATGTTAAATTCAATAGAGGGAGGGAAGAGAACTAGGAGGAAAATTCCTCCAGGTACCTGGAAATACAGCATAATCCAGGATTTGTGAATCATTCATAGAGTGGAGGATCTCACAAAGAGAGTCCTTCAAAGAGAGAAGAATGGTAGAATAGGCACTAGATATTTTTGTATTTAGGTCCTAGCAGTGATAATTCTCTCCTTCCTCTCAGTAACAGAGAGCAAGATCTGAGAAGAGAAGGGAAGGGACTTTTTAACCTTAAACAAGAAGAGGAAAACTCTTTTGAAATCGAGGAGTAAGATGAGAAGTTAGATATAGGGATATTAATAGGTTGAGAATAGAAATAAAGAGATGTGACAGTTCCACTGTAGATAAGTTGCCTCCCAATAAGGTCATGAGTATTTAAATTAATGATGCTAGTTAATAAAATAGCTCAGTTGTCATTTGGTTTTATGTTTTATCTGAAAAATAAAACCACACAATGACTACAATTCAGTAAACTTTAATATACTTTTCCTCCTCATTATCACTGACACACATTTGTTAACTTCTGATTAGGGTTACAGAGAAGATCTGTGGTTATGAAATAGCTTTGGATGTTGTAACAAAACTCACATCAGAGACACAATCAGTTAATTATTTCCAGGAAGAAACATCATTGTTCATGCATGAACACTGAGCAAACAATTTGAAGTTTTTTTTTTAGCTAGAGTTTATATGCCTGTCCATCTAAAAAATGTAGAAACAATCTTAAGAGCAAAATCCTATTTGTGTTTATGGAAAGCAGTATAGAAAAGTACCAGAAACTAGACTGAAAGGTGTTAGAAGCAAATCACTTTCTTTTTTTTAATCCTCACCTGAGCATATTTTTTAATTTTTTGTTCTGATAGAATGGGAAGGAGAGAGAGAGAGAAACATCGACATGAAAGGGACACATCGATGGAGTAGTTGCCTCCCGCATGACCAACCAGGGCCGGGGACAAACCGAGGTACGTGCCCTTAGCAGGAACCGAACCTGGGTCTTTCTGGACCGCAGGCCAATGCTCTAACCGCTGAGCCAAACTG